TAAACTGTAATTTATAGAAATTTTCAGTTTAGAATACCAGCAAAATAATCTAAGATTTATTATTATTTATTAAAAGTTCAATTTTATATCCTAATTAGGGTTAGTAAAATTTAATTAATAAATATGGTGAAAATATAAACAAATTGTTTTTTACATTTAGAAATGGAATTCCAGATTTTAATTAAATGACCCCGAGGTTTAAAAAAATCAGGTTAGCTAAATGTACATTTTTTATGTTATCATACTTCCCATAACTGACTAGCAGCAATATCTGTTATGTAATAATATCAAATGCGTTATAATACCAGTTCAATAAAGTAATTCAAACTTAGTCAATTATAACCTGGATTAAAAGAGAATTTACCATAATTTTAACGAGAGATCACTTGAATTGAAACTTGTAAATTATTCTCATCAACACTATTATAGAGTAGGATTTTATGAAGAGGTTTAGTGAATTATTAGGTAAACTATACCAACGCTGATCAATAGATGATATACAATGACACAATATGGTCAAGTGAAGACAGCTCAAACGAACAAGTTTTTGCCATTAGTACTCAGATAATTTGAGATCAAAGACAAGATTAGTAAACTGAAGAATACGTTTTATCTGACGTCTGTTTCGTTCCGTACATCTTTGGAATAAAATTCATTTCCAATTTTGTGATTTGTGGAACTTCTTGTCTTTATCTCGAACTTATCACGAAGTATATCCAGAGGTAATGTACATTCTCAATACTTTAACGCAAATGAAGTTAGTTCTTGTAATTAATATATATAACTCTCGATTTATACTTCATTACTGACCTCATATCTTGAAGATTATTCTAGCTACCCAACGGCAGTCTCTTGCGTGTATCTTGATTCTACGTTTATATATCTTACTGTCGATCTAATGGTGCTACAAAATAATTTTCAGTACTCATCTTTACCCACAACTTTATTGTATTGCTGACAACGATGTTACCTGAAGTGACTGAAATGAACAGAATACCATCAAACTACTGTAGGTCTGGCTGAAATTTACTCTAAATTTGCTCGAAATATTCACGCAGTTAATTAATCGAAAAACATGACGACAAGCATCAATAGTCCTAAAATAGATCAAAACGAATTATCAAAATATAATCTTTCAATAAAATCCAACATATTACTAAGCCTAGATTGAAAATTGAGTGTCACAGTAACATTAAATGGAAATATAGCGACCCATGTGCAATTGAGTATATTCTCATTTAATCCAGTTAAGCCCTTTTGTTAACTTATTTAGCGGACAAAGTCATCCTTACTATAACAACTTACTGTACCTCTATTATTGTCATGCTTGTATGAAATGTGTATGCTCGAACATTGTTTACCGCCTACGCATATATTCGTTCTGTTAGCTTTATTTTTAGCTGCTTAATTGATTCGATGATCCATTCATTTCCCTATACATATACATGTACATTCGCACTACATACTCTCGGTTCGCGACTCACTCATTCGCCTCACTGTTCTGTGTTCTGAGTTATCTGCTAATAGAACTGTAGTAGCTGCTTCTCTTAACCTTCTGATTTCAAATATCGTTGACGATTATATGGTAACGGTTACGAGGGTGAGTGGTTAACGAAGCACAGCCACTACAGAAATAATAGGAAAGAGAGGAAATATAATAGTGGGATTAACCATAACTGATAGCTAGTTGGAAGCGGTCATCAGGTGACTCTGGCTTTGGTTTCATGATAGTTGGCGCTCTTCAGCAAGGTCTACCTGTAACATATTGCACAAATAGCTTAATCTTTAGACCGCTGTGTACGTTGTAACTTGGTAGATAGAATTCCAACTATACGAGTATGACATCAGTCACTACTCAGTGATTAATCAATACATTTAGTGTAAGTGATTAATCGAATATTTGTAAATAGTTGATATTATAAACTAGAATTATTTTAAAAAATACATTGGAAGTTAAAATACAAATCTATATCGTTGCTCCTTTCATGTTGGAAACTCTTCAACAAATCTCACCTACTCTGAAGGAGTTCGAATCCGGACTTTAAAGTTCACAAAATGTGAGCAAAATAGATAATGAGTAATTTTCTAAAATGAAGATAACTAAATAAGGAAGATTCGAAGAAGGATAAAACATCGTTTAAATAAGATATACACAGATTTCTACACTGTTTATTGATTTTTGTATTCCTGTAGTAATACAGAAATAGATTTAAATAAAGAAGAAGACGAGACCATTGTACTTCAGCCATGTCGGATACGAGGTAATTACCCACCAGTAGAGTAGGAGATGATTGTATAATATCATGAATTGATTGAAGTTAAGTATGTAAACTATTTGGTATTCATTTACTGGTCTGAAGGTTAGGTACTTATTGAGAGATCTGATGGTTTTGTGTTTGATCTCCTATAGTGAGAATATGATCACTGCTGAAGAGTCGCACACTAGAAGGAAACAGGAGTTCAATAGTTTCTAGTTTTCGCCAGCTGTCTAACTAAGATCAATCTGTGATGTAAACTATGGGAGTTCAACTACCTCGATAACCATTTACATTAATAAAATTCTAATGACCTATTTATTGATGACTAGATTCATATTGGATATTTGGAGTTTCTCTTGAAAAGACGTGACTTTTAGATTTAAATTTGTTGGGAAGGCGACCCGGCTACTTACCGACGACATCCTCCAGCTGATATTTATAGTTGATGAAATGTTATTTTCAATTTGAAAATAAATCTATGAAAATCATCTATCTAAAATCATATAAGGTAACAATTCTTCAGATAAAAAAGCACAGTAAAATCAATGGTTTACAACAGAAGTTAAAAGAAAAAATAGAAATAGTTTTAACAAGCAATGTATAAAATTTGGTATTAACTCTTCATGATAGTAATAGCAATAAAATATTCAGACAATAATTGATTCTTAACTGAAATACATGGTTATATTAATTATTCATTATAGAAAATTAGACAAAATGTATCTTCAAAATATCCAATTCTCAAAGTAATCGTTCATTACTATGATTTCGTTGATAAGGATACAGTTTTAAAAGTATAAGAAAATTGATATTAACTTTTATTTTCTAAAAGAATGTGATGAATGATTATACCACCATATTGAAATAGTGAAATATCTTTTCAAATTAACAGAAATTGTTCGCTTTTAAGGCAACTGAAAAATTACATGTAACCTTGTCCTCTCTGGATGCTTATCAGTTTAACCGCTTCTGTTCTATTAACCATGTTGAGTGGTTAACCTGATGAATACATCATCATATTTCTGAACACTGCTATTCATTGTTGACAGAAATGATAAAAGAAAACAGTAAGTGGTTCTATTCTGGTACATCTAGTCGATAATATTCAGAGCATTGGTACAATTTAGCTTCCAACGATATCTATTGAATTCCGTCAAACTTGTCCTATTCATTCGGAACCCGTATCCTACATATGGATGAGAAAACAACAATACATGTAAATAAATTTAATCTGAATGTGATAAAACATTTGCCTATTCCCATAATTTACCCAGTTCTTCTATTTCATTATGCTTCTAAACAATTTAATCGGTTTTGTTTACATGGGTTTGTAGGGATAGTTTAAATTTTATAGTTTACATTACGAACTGTATTAGTTCAACAATCATTGGAAATCGGAAGACATTGAACTGCTGTTTAATTTTTGTATATCACTCCTTAACAGTAATCATCCACGCTCCCCCATAGGAGATCGAAGACAAGGCTATAGTGGATTATCTTCAAGTCACAAGGCTTCGTATATCAGTCGTCCTGATAGCCATTATCAAATAAATCCTAACGGTGTGTAAATTTCAGAATAAAATACGAGGCGTCAACTACAGTATAGTATTGTACATAACAGATCACTAAGCTACAAGCACACAAAAGAATTCGAGAAGAAATGAGAATGTGAGTAAGCGAGAGAATAAAGAAGCGAATCAAGAGTCGAATGCATTGATAATATTTACGTACATATATATGAGAAAGTTTATTATTCATTGGACGATTTAAACAACTGATACTCAAGCTAGTAAGAGGGATATATGTGTAGGCTGTAATATGTGATCGAGGATACAGACATAATAATAATAATAATAATAATAATAATAATAATTATTATTATTATTATTATTATTATTATTATTATATATATATATATATATATATATATATATATATATATATATATATATATATATATATATATATATATATATATAAACTGTCACTGTTCGAATGACACTGTCTGTCAAATAAGTTAACTGAAGAGCTTCACAAAGTTAAACGTAAACAGACTTTAGTGTAGGTGGGATGCTGTAGGACTACTGGGTCTCTTGATTAAAACCAATAAGTCAACAAGTCTAACTTCAGTTAACTAATAATACCGTGGAGAACTGCCTTACACTCAACATGGTTGAATTTCATTGGTCACAGAATCACACTACAACTCCTAGAACTACTTACGAAGTTAGTTACTAGTGGAGACATGATTATTATTACCAATAATTTCACTACTGATTCCCCTCTCATCATCAATAGAGTTAAACGAATCAACTAAGACTGTTTAAGAATATAATAATAAGTGACTGAATAAATACTCATTATAAGTATACAAAACTCTGCCTGGAGCCCCTCTGGGCTACTGCCGGTCCCGACCCGGATAAAGGAGGAGGGTTGGGCATGCAGTTAGCGACCCCATTCCGTAGAAAACTAACTCGCTAAAAAACGCTTACCAGAAAAAATTATTCAAACCTTTTAAACTCTGCCCTGGGAGTCAGAAGGTCTTCATTTAGGAGAACTATGACGCCTCATGATGAAAGTCGAATTTCTTCGAAAGTTACGAGGCTGATGTATTTTATTTATTTATTTACTTGAACAGATAAATATTGGTACAAGAATGCGCCAAATATATATGCGCCACACAAAACAATGAGAATTTAAGGGGATGGAGAAAAAAAAGATTGATGTAAGGTGGTGTAATAATAATAATGGTAAAAATGACGGAACAGAAAGGTACAATCAGAAGAAATCTTTCAAGTAAGGGAGACACAACCACTTTTTATGAAGAAAGTAAAAGAAGGTTACAGCAGGATCGCCACTGGCTTTTATTCTGAGCCATATCTGATAACGTCTCTAGCCACTGTGTAGCACCATCTCTCGGACCCCAACCAGGGAGTCGTGAAGGACCAATAGAAGCCAGTCCTTTGCAGCTTTCTTTCATACCACGATACCAGGTCATGCACTGACCACCTCTCCGCTTCTTCCAACCAGTCCCAGAGTCGGCAAATAATGCACGACGTGGAATTCTCTGGGACGACATTCGTAGAACATGTCCAAGCCACCGAAGTCGGTGTTTCAAGATGGTAACGCCAATTGAGTTATCGTCTCTGTGCCCGAACACACGATGCCGAACCTCTGCATTACTAACATGGTGTTGCCACTGGATGTCAGCAAACCTTCGGAGACAACGATGATCGAACACAGAGAGTCGTCTAACGTCCTCAACTCGGAGAAGCCAGGTTTCACAAGCATAGAGCAAAACTGCTCTCACCGACGCGTTGTAGATCCGACCTTTTACAGCCAGGCTGACATCACGAAGGCGCCAAAGATGGCCCAGGTTGGTATAACCCGCTCTGGCTTTCACTATACGTGCATTAATCTCATTACTCACACTCCCACCAGCACTTATGCAGCTACCCAGATACACGAACTTCTCGACTAGGTCTATCTGCTCACCATCCAGGGTGAGTACAGGATCGGAATCCTGCCAGTCTTGTAGAAGCACCTTGCACTTCGAAGGTGCAAAGCACATACCATACCTACGGACACTGATTGCCATCTGATTAAGTGCGGATTGCATGCTTTGGGCATTGTCGCACAGTAATACAATATCATCTGCATACTCAAGGTCTAGAAGTCTTTTTCCAGGCAACAGATCCACACCGCCATTACTTACATCCATCAGAGCTGTTTCCAGAATGTCATCGATGGCAAAGTTGAAGAGGAATGGTGAGATTGGGCAACCCTGCCTAACCACACTGCTCGAGTGGAACAATGCAGAAAGGTGGTTGTATGCCCTCACTCTGCCTGAGGTGTTTTTATATGGGGCTTTTAGGATGTTAATAAACTTCTCAGGCACAGCCTTCTTCAACAGACAATCCCAGAGAACAGTCTTATGCAACGAATCGAAGGCAGAGAAGATTTGTAGCTCAGGTGGATGATCAAAATCATATGAGCGTAATACGCTTCTCGTTGTTCGAAAATGGGAGAATTTCGCCCGGGTTCAGGGTTTTTTGTTGACTACCTCCAACCACCATCTAAAGTCTTAATACATAGTGCCCGCAGTGTTGAGTCACAAAGACTGGTGGCCACATTGCAACATGATCGATAGCATTCGATCTGCACTAATAAGGACTAAACAAGCATGACATTGATCACCACCCAGTGATCAATTAATTGTGATTCTCTTCTGTGCCTAGACGCCCGACCTGAGCATTCAAGTCTCCGGCTAGTACTACAATATCTGTCGAACGCACTTTCTGGAGAAGAACAGATAACTGGTGGTAAAACTCATCCTTGATTGCATCCGGGCTGCAATATGTCGGAGCATAGGCGGAGATGACGAAAAGACATCGTTTCTCACGCCGATTTCTTCTCACTTTGATGGAACGTTTAGATAGAGTCGAATTTCCACCAAAGACGAGCTGCTGTATAAACCGAAAAATAAGTATAGATGGAGTAGGAATAAAAGTGGGTGAATAATGATGTAGTAAATAATAATAACAATAATAATAATAATAGTAATAATAATAATTTGAATCATTTGATTGTTATTCGGAGCGAGAAATGTAGTTTCCATAGATATAGAGAGTTCATCATTTGCATGTGGGCTGTGATACTGCCCGGGTGCCCAGACCGAAGCAGGTGGTTATCTTAGGGGGCCACACCCCGAGCCTTTGACCTGAAGGTCTGATTCACAAGGCAGTGGAGCATCGTAAGGAGATGCAGTCCCATGGTAGCCGGTGACCAACAATTGGTTCATACGCCATTCGTTCCCGTAGGATAATGGAGCCCATGTGCACCATTGGTTTGAGATCTGGTTAAAGTGCCGGACATTCGCTTTTCGTCCTCTCGTTTTCGTAAACAACACCCCCGCCACGAGAAGGCAGTGAGTAGAACTTCCCTGGCAGAGGCTGCATACGCGTGGACATGTGAAAGTATTTTGAGAGGGAGGGCGGACCCACCCCGCTCTCGACCGTACCAGGGCATTTGGGGGCGAAGCCGATATCCCTTCTGACAACCAGAGCGACCATTTATTTAGGTACATGGAATGTTCGTGCAATGTGGGAGACCGGGAGAGTCTTCCAAATTGCTGCGGAAATGAGGAGGTACAACCTAGAGGTGCTTGGGATCAGTGAAACACATTGGGCGCAAGTCAGACAACAACGACTAACTTCAGGCGAGTTTCTGTTATACTCTGGCCATGAAGAAGAAAATACCCCACATACACAAGGAGTTGCATTGATGCTGTCAAAACAAGCACATAATGCACTTATAGGATGGGAATCTCATGGACCAAGGATCATCAAGGCCCTCTCTCAAAACAAAGAAAGAGGGCATTTCAATGAACATCATCCAATGCTATGCGCCTACCAACGACCACAATGAAGACGCTAAAGATCAATTCTACAATAGGCTGCAGTCAATCATAGAGAAGTGCACAACAAAGGACCTGACCATTCTGATGGGAGACTTCAATGCCAAGGTTGGAATGGACAACACTGGATATGAAGACATCATGGGACGACACGGATTGGGAGAAAGGAACGAAAATGGTGAGAGATTTGCAAACCTATGTGCCTCCAATAAACTGGTCATAGGCGGCACCATATTCCCACATAAACGCATATACAAAGCGACATGGATTTCACCGGATCACACCACACAAAACCAAATCGACCATATATGCATCAACAAGAAGTTCGGGAGGACGATGGAAGACGTGAGAACCAAGAGAGGAGCTGATATAGCATCAGGTCATCACTTGCTGGTCGCCAAGATGAAATTGGAACTCAAGAAGCACTGGACAATGGGGCGGACAACATCACAAAAGTTCAATACGGCCTTTCTTCAGGATACTGACAAACTCAACAAATTCAAGATAGTCCTCAGCAATAAGTTCCAGGCCTTTCACGATCAACTCAATGGAGAAGGGACTACTATGGAGAGCAACTGGAAGGGAATCAAAGAGGCAATCACTTCAACATGCCATCAGGTTCAGGGCCACAAGAAGCACCATCACAAGGGATGGATCACTATTGATACACTGGATAAGATTCAAGAAAGGAGGAACAAGAAAGCAGTAATCAATACCAGTCGAACAAGAGCAGAAAAAGCCAAGGCACAAGCTCCATACACAGAATTAAACAGGCAAGTGAAGAGGAGCATCAGGACCGACAAACGTAAATATGTGGAAGATTTAGCAATGACGGCGGAAAAGGCTGCAAGAGAAGGGAACATGAGACAATTGCATGACACGACAAAGAAACTCTCTGGAAATCGCCGCAAACCAGAACGACTAGTGAAAAGCAAGGAAGGCATGGTAATCACCAACATTGAAGAACAAAGAAACAAGTGAGTAGAACACTTCAAAGAACTCTTGAATCGACCAGCCTCACTGAACCCACCCAATATTGAAGCAGCACTCACGGACCTTCCAACCGATGTTGGCCCACCAACAATTGAAGAGATTAGCATGACCAACAGACAAATCAAGAGTGGTAAAGCAGTGAGACCAGACAACATTCCAGCAAAGGCACTAAGAGCAGACGTAGCGGCAACTGCAAGGACACTCCACATTCTCTTCAATAAGATTTGGGATGAGGAACAAGTACCAAAAGACTGGAAAGAAGGACTCCTGATCAAAATACCGAGGAAAGGCGATCTCAGCAAGTGTGATAACTACAGGAGCATCACTCTTCTCTCAATACTGGGAAAAGTCTTCAACAGGGTATTATTAATCAGAATGAAGTACTCCGTAGATGCCCAACTTCGAAACCAACAGGCACGATTCCGTAAGAATCGGTTGTGTACTGACCAAATCGCAGCACTACGGATCATTGTGGAACAATCGATTGAATGGAATTCATCACTCTACATCAACTTCATTGACTACAAATAAGCATTTGACAGCGTGGACAGAACAACAAAATGGAAGCTTCTTCGACACTACGGCGTGCCTCAGAAGATAGTCAGTATCATACAGAATTCCTATGATGGATTAAACTGTACAATCGTGCATGGAAGACAGTTGACAAAATCGTTTGAGGTAAAGGCCGGTGTCAGACAAGGTTGCTTACTCTCACCCTTTATCTTTCTTCTGGTGATCGACTGGATCATAAAGACGTCAACGTCTGAAAGGAAACACGGGATACAATGGACATCTAGGATGCAGTTGGACGATCTGGACTTCGCAGATGATCTGGCCCGCCTATCCCAAACGCAACAACGAATGCAGGAGAAGACGACCAGTGTAGCAGCAGCCTCAGCAGCAGTAGGTCTCAATATACACAAAGAGAAAAGCAAGATTCTTCGATAAAACACAGCATGCACCAATCCAATCACAATTGACGGAAAAGATTTGAAAGATGTAAAAACCTTTACATATTTGGGCAGCATCATTGATGAACAGGGTGGATCTGATGCAGATGTGAAGGCGTGGATCAGCAAAGCAAGAGCAGCGTATATTCAACTGAAGAACATCTGGAACTCAAAACTGTCAGCCAACATCAAGGTCAGGATTTTCAATACAAATGTCAAGACAGTTCTACTGTATGAGGCGGAAACCTGGAGAACTACGAAAGCCATCATCCAGAAGATACAGGTGTTTATTGACAGTTGCCTACGCAAAATTCTTGGGATATGTTGGCTGGACACTATTAGCAACAACCAACTGTGCGAGAGAACAAACCAGATCCCAGCGGAGGAAGAAATCAGGAAGAAGCGCTGGTAGTGGATAGGACACACACACACATTTAGGGAAGCACCCAACTGCGCCACAAGGCAAGCCCTCACGTGGAATCCTCAAGACCAAAGGAGAAGAGGAAGATCAAAGAATACAAGACGTCGAGAAATAGAGACGTATGAGAAAAATTAACAAATTGGATAGAACTCGAAAGGAAGTCCCAGGACAGAGTGGGTTGGTGAATGGTGGTCTGCGGCCTATGCTCCATGGGAAGTAACAGACGTAAGTAAGTAAGGTAAGTAATAAGTATACAAGTATGTTGGCATCCTCAGAGAAGTTTTCAATAGGTCTAAAAAGGCTGGAAACATTTCTATCAGTCAATAACAATGGTATCACTCTAG